GGGCGGAGAGGCCCGCGGCCGCGGTGAGGGGCCGCCCCTCGCTCGAGCGTCGAGACCACGGCTAAGCTTCTGTAAGTGCAGGTGCGTACCGTGCACGGGCGTTTTATTCACAAGCAGGCAAATTAAAATCCCGTAAGAGATACCAGACAAAACTGGATCACCTACAAAGTGAAATTAAAGTAATTTTTTGTGTATATGTCTCTCATAGGGAAAAAACTTGAAGTCCAAGGAGGAAAGGTTGTTCCTTTTCACCACTCCACAAGCTCAGTTCACCTGGAAAACTAAAACACCAGGGTACTGAAAGTGGAAGCAAGGTGGTGTCAGTTAAATGCAGCCTCTCACCATCACTGAAGGTAACGTTACAGGATCACCGTACCGTTATCAGAAAGGGGAAGTAAAAAAAAAAACCTTGCAGATGAAAGCCAAACTGATTATCATTTTAAATACACAGATACTAAAACAATACAATAAATTTATTTTATTTCCTTTGCAACCCTTCTTTGGAGGCTGCAAAAGGATTTGTTGCTGAGGAGGTCAGTTTCAAAACCCAGCACAGGTGAACAGCAGTGGCACAGCTGTGTAAGCAGAGAAGCAGAGAAAAACTGTGCCAGCGTTTCACGCTGCCTACCTACAAAGTGATAGAGCTGCCCACAAGGTACACAAACCAACGCGGAAGGATGATTTAGGTTAAGATGAGAGGATGAAAACACAGCGCTCGCTCAGTCTACAGATACTGATTACATGGCTTGATTTAAGTCTCCTCAGGGAGTTCAGGGCTGGAGTAGCGATAACAACACTTGTGAATGGTATTAAACATTTCAGTCAGGCCTCTGAAGTCCAGCATCATTCCTTATGCAGAGCCCATGCTCGCTCTGGCTTTAAGTGATGGACAAGGATAGTATTTCATCTGAGAATTGCCTGTAATACTTCATGTATCTAGTGTCCAATTCCTCCATTATTGTAGGTATAAATCTCAAAGTGTACTAAAAATAACATAATACAGGTCCAGAAATATAAGCCTGGGCTGGCTGTGCTCAGTACAGGGCTAATCCACATTCTGAGAGGAAACAGTTAGTATAAAGTTCTGAGTCTCAGAGCAAGCAAAGGTTCCAACAACCAAGGAAGCGACATTGTTGACCAGCCAAGTGGTGACACCTGCTGAGCACTCACCTACCTCTCATCATGGGCTGGTGCAGACTAGCAGGGACTAGCTTGGTCAGCCCAGCTAGAAATTTCTCCTCCATCACTGAAGTATTAGCCCCAAACAGGAGCCATGAAGTCAGAGGCCCTGTTACATGCATCTCTGCTTTAATATACCAGAACCATCTCATTCCTCTGTCTAATAAAGATTGTTTTGCTGCTGTTTTATTCTTTCCCAGCTGCTGTCATTCAAGGTGTAAATGGAATGATGGATGGGTGTTAATACTTTCTCCTGTCATGCAGGCAAGTGACTTTGGACACCTTGGGTGGCAGTGCTGACAAACAAAGTGAGCATGCATGTTGCAAGAGAGGAAAAAAAAATGCATGGGAGTGAAAATTGTAAAGTTCACTGAAATGTTTAATAAAGATGATATTTCAAAAGTGTAGTAAGAGGCAACATCAATATAGCTAGCTCTTAGGATCTTATCAAACCCTGCTGTAGTGATGTTTCTTAAAAAAATAGCAGCTGCTGGAGACATGCAAGTAAAAGTTCTTGTGTGTATTATTTTAATTATGCTTAAGCATTGTAGCTAAAACAAACATTACAGTATGGCACTGGACATTAAAAGATAAAGTATGGAATCCTGCATGATTTGGAATTTATAGAGTTATGGAGCTACTTATTTCATATGAGGAGAGAAAATAGGGTAGTATACTAGCAATGCTACCAAGAGTAGGAAACAAAAAGAAAACATTTGCTAAACAGTATATATGTATTTTAAGGAATAGAAGGCAAAATCCTAGAAGCAAGATTTTCCTCAGAGTTTAGGTTTGAGCCACCTAATATGGTATGCAACACCAAACCTGAGCCACTATAAACAGCTTTTCTGAACCTCTTACTAGTGCATTACTTCAATAAAACAATCATCCAAACACAGAATAGTTAGGAAATAGCGTATATTTTAAAGTGGCAGAGCCCTATAAGACAACATAGAGTATTTATTCCAGTATGGTGACTTCTGTCCTGTTAGATACACCTTTTTATTTTTTTCCAGACCATGAAATTATATGCTCGACACATAATCAGCTCTTAAAAGGCACAGCCATTAAGATAGATTAACATTATGTTGTCTACAACGTGATGCCATGTCAGAGGAAAATATATTTTAAACTATTTATTTTCACACCTCCCATCAATACTAGGCTTGCCAAAAGTTTCTCTGGGAAATTTACCCTTATGAAAATACTACTCATTTCATGAGAAAGGTAAGTGAATATTTATATTTGTCCCACCCATCCACCCCCCAAGATAAGTATTTTACATTTACAGGATACAGTGACAGTAGTAGAACAAGATTGCAAAGATACTTCACTGGGCAACAAAATAATCACAACTGTAGAAACTACAGCATGAAGCTGATGTGTTGTTCCTTCTTCTCCAGTTCATAAAAGTCACCCTTAGGAACCGATTCTTTAGAAGACAAGTCCCTCCTCAAGCAAGTAATCTTCTAATAAATCTTCTGTACCTGATGTATGTTCCCACTTCTTAGTATTTTTATACTTAGCACTGAAGGTATATACCTGAGCCATTAATCAGATGTTCCCACCCCAAGGGGTTTTGGGTGCTAGACAGAAATACAATATGCGTGACAGAAGTCCTACATAATATATGGAAATGCTTGTACAGCAAAACTATTAATTTTCTTTACCTGGGGTCAAATTTTACATCCACAATGTTACTGTATATCCAAAGTAGCTCCAGCTCAATCAGTGGGTCTAATTTTAGTATACTATTCAGACTGAATAGGAGTGCAACTTTGAACATAATCTACTTCACACACAAAATATTTCAAATCAGCAACAAAATAAAATACATAGCTAGAAACTTTCTGGTCTATCCTGGATAATCTTTGCTTGCATTTATGTTTTAAAATATTTAGTACCACATTTAAATGGTTTAAATAAACCCAGAGAACCAAGAAAAACTGATAGAGCGGGCAGAGAATGGTCAAATGCAAGACTGCATAATAAGCAAAAATCAGACTGACCACATTCAGCAGACTCACACTTGCTCCTTCATATAGAGAGACAGAGACCGTGCTTGGGATTTAAGACAAGTTGCAGGAGATTTTTCACGCGAGCTCCTACATGGTTTTGAGACCCCTGCAATTCACAGGGCGAAACCAAACAAGCATGAGAATTTCTGACATGAATCCTTGCTGAAAGCAACTGTAAAACTGGAAATTATGAGGTGGCTGCCTGTTGTAGTCAGGAAGGGACATACAGAGTCAGTGTCCCAGTTCCCAGGAGGTACGCTGTTTTATAGAAAGCTGATTTTAATCTGCTACTTTGATTATAAACTGTTAAGTTTCTTCTTGGCTAGACACAGTGGAAAATAGAAGTCTCTTATATTTGGAATTGAAAATAGGCCTATTGTTTTTCTATCAATTGCTTGATGAGAAGTGCAGAAAAAAATAATTTAAGACATCTCATCATGTCTTGGTGGTGTTTGAGCCCTGCCATAGCCTCTCTTCCCAGTTCAAATCAAAAACTGAAATGCAAAGAGCAGAAAAATAGTAACATTTCCTTCCTCCAGCAAGAGGCCCCAAAGGGACTGTAGGAGGTGTCGATGACAGAAAATACAGAACAGCAAACCTCTTCAGTATCCCATATTTTGAGAAATGCCAGAGGCTTGAATCAGAGTCAATCTGTGTTCTACATAGCCTTGCTATCCCTTCATGTTCTGCCATTTCAAGTAATTTGCACCAGAAATAATGGGCTACAAAAAAAGAGGTTAGGGAAAGACTAGATACTGGTCTTGCAAGTTTTCTGTGTTTATTTGTGCATCATTCCTAGTTTGTCCTTTTTGCATCAGTTTGGCTGAGAGGCCAAAAAGCAGGGAATAAGGAAGAGGGGAAAGTCATAGCAACAGCAATCTACCCTGGCTAGCCCATGAAAATCCATGGGGGAAAAAAAAAAAAAAAAAGGCAATAGCCACAAAGATATAGGGGAGAGAATGAAGAACTCGAGAGAACCTGAAATAACTTGTAGGGGATTTGTGCTCGGGGAAGGCAGTTGCTTTAGTGATTTAGAGCACAATATTCATATTACATTTAAAGTTGCTTATCCAGAAGGTGTGCTAGCCCCAAGAAAAAACCTGGTAATTCTCACCCTTCAGATAAACTTTTGTTTTTCCAGTTTTGAAGGTGGTTTTTAAAGTTGACATTTTTTGATGCAGAAAATGTGTCGCTAGCTGTGGACTGTGCAGCTTTCTCAGAAGGAGAGATTTCTGAAGAGAAAGGAACACTTGGGAGACTGATTTGACAGGCAATTTTTACTGTATAAAATTAATGGCAGCTGTTTGAAGCTGCTCATGTGTCTGAAACATTAAAAATCCCACAGCTGAATTTTTGATCTGTGAGCATAGAAGATCAAGGAGCATTACACTTTTGCCTTATGGTACTATAGTGTGGGGCATAGCCACTTATTTCCATGTATGCATTTTGAACCCTATTCATAACTTAGCCACATTTATTTTTCCAGATCTGGAAATAATTTTGGAAGCAGCTACAAATGTTCTGCTACACCAACCCAGACCCTGCTTCTCCCTACAATATAGAAAAAGGTGTCATCTCTTCGCCTTTTGTCATCTACAATGGATATATTGCATATCACAAAGACAGTATCTCACTGCACTTTTTTTTCCAGTTGTTTTTTGAAATGAAAAACTTAATTAAAAAAATCTGTTAACAGTATAAATTTTTAGTGAGAGTAACAGTAAGAACCA